AGTTTTATGGGGCTTTTTACCATGTCACATAAACACTTGTTTCTTCTCACATTCTAATTGACTAGGATTCAGTCATGTGACCACACCTCTATGTAAGGAAATACAGTCCCAGGTAGACAGCCACTTGTCAGCAACAATTCTATCCATGAAAGAGAAAACAATAATTTTGATCCACAGTTAATTTTCTCTTCCTCAAAATCAGGAGTCTCTGTAAACTCCATACCTTGCTCCATCTTGCACTGCAGTCATATTTAACTGCTTGCATTCTTAAGATACACCATGGCCTTTCTTTGTGTTGCTGCCTTTTGCTTGTGGATATCTTCTACTCTTCTTTCAACATTTAGCTGAGAAATCATCTTAAGAGGCTGAGGCAGGAGAATTGCTTGAACCCAGGAGGCAGAAGTTGCAGTGAGTTGAGATTGTGCCACTGCACTCCAGTCTGGGTGACAGAGTGAGACTGTCTCAGAAAAAAAAAAAAGAGAGAGACAGAGAGAGATTTTGTGTTAGTAATATAATCAAAAAATTAAAATTCTTTGGTAAGGCTAGTTTCTTCCTTTGCAAGGTCAGCACGGAGATGTTATTTCTGGATTAACCTCCTCATGTATTCTATATAACCCAATTTTTAAAATGGGAAATGGACTAGATACTTCTTCAAAAATAACATAAGAATAGTCACTTCTTCAGATGGCCATATGAAAAAGTGCCCAATATCACTATTCATCAGAAAAATGCAAATCAAAATTACTATGAAATAATATGTCACACCCGTTGGGATTGGTATAATCAAAAAGACAAGAGATAACAAGTGTCAGCAAGGGGATAGAGAAAAGAGAATCCCTGTGCACTGTTGGTGGGAATGTAGACTGGTGCCACCATTATGAAAAACAGTATGGAGGTTCCTACAGAAATTAAAAATATAACCACCATATGACCCAGAGATCCCTCTTCTGTGTATATACCAAAAGAAAATGGAATTACCATCTCCTGAAGATAGTTGCACTCCCATGTTCATTGCAACATTATTTAGAATAGGCAAGATATGGAAACAATCTAGGTGTCCATCAATGGACAAATGTATAAAGGAATATACATATACTCCATTGTATGTGTATACATACACAGAGACACACACAAAATGGAATCTTAGCCTTATAAAAGAAGAAAATCCTGCCGGGTGCTATCACATTGATGGACCTGGAGGACATTATGCTAAATGAAATAAGCCAGATATGGAAAAAAATTTTTTTGCATGATCTCACTTATAGCTGAAATTAAGAAAAGAAAAGGTCAAATATATACAATAGTGATTTATAGCAGGGGTCCCCAAGCCCCAGGCCACAGACCTGCACATGGGAGGGATCTAGGTGCATGCTCCTTATGAGAATCTAATGCCTGATGATCTGAGATGGAGCTGAGGCAGTGATGCTAGTGCTGGGCAGCAGCTGCAAATACAGATTAACAGTAGTAGAGAGTTTTGACTGCACAGAGACCATGATAAATACATTGCTTATAGACTCACATCAAAACCCTACCAGTGAGGGGCAAGTGGCAAGTGACAACTGACAATTAAGATGCATCTGGTGTCAGGCTTTATAGTGGAAAATTGATGTACTTCAATTGTATAACTGCACCTGGTGGCAGGTTTTAAGTCAGAATCAACAATTATTTTAGTCTGTGCATGCCCCAGCCATTATTTTACGGCTTTCATCTGCACCTCTTTCCCACGCTGTGCACTTGTCTTAGTCACAGTTTTGCTAAGCCCACGAGCTAACCCTAGCCAAAATGAGTGAAAAACAAACATCACTGGACAGCTTCTTTGAAAATGGAGAAAGACCCAATGATGAGACAGCAGAAGACTCTAAGACTGCAGAACAAAAGAAAGCTGCATTTAAAGGAAAATACCCAGAGTACTACTGAAATTACAGGTTTATTACAACAGGTGGTTCACATTCTCGAAGCCTGCTTTGTATAATATTTGGTGACCAGCTATCCAATGATGCTATGAAATCTTCAAAACTGCTTCACCGCATGGAGACCAAGCCCCCTGCATTAAAAGACAAGCCTTTGGAGTTTTTTGTGGAAAAAAAAAAAAATGAAAACATGAACATCGAAGCAATTTTTGAAGGCCATCATGTCACCAAATATATCTTCACTGAGCACATCATTCTTAGTAGCTAACTACATTGCTAAAGCAAAGAAGCCCTTTACTATTGGTGAAGAATTGATCCTGCCTGCTGCTAAGGACATTAGTCATGAACTTTTAGGAGAGGCTGCAGTTCAAAAGATGGCACATACTCCTCTTTCAGCTAGCACCAAAACTAGATGAATTAATGAAGTAGCAGACAATATCGAGGCACAATTGTTAGAGAGGATTAATGAGTCACCGTGATATGTAAACCAGGTTGATGAGGTTACCAATGCTGACAACAGAGCAACAATGCTTTTTGTGTGTATGATTTATTTTTCAGGAAGTATGTGCACAAGGATGTGTTATGTGAGCTTTTGTTGCCAGTCAAATAGCTGCAGAACTATTTAACTCTTTAAATGACTACAGATCAGGAAAAGTGAATTGGTCAATATGTGCAGGTATATGCGTGGAAGGAGCGGTTGCCATGACTGGATGGCTTTCTGATTTCACTACTCTGGTCAAAGAGACAAGAATGTGAATATACGCACGCACTATATCATCCGTACAAAAATGCTGGCTAGCTGAAAAATCTCACCTGAACTTAACATTTTGCAGGATGTGACAAAAATTATCAACCACACGAAAGTACATTATCTTAACTCACATCTGTTTGTGCAGCTCTGTGAGGAGATGGGCACAGAGCACAAATGTCTTCTCTTATACACAGAAGTGAGGCGGCATTCTAAAGGTAGGTCACTGGCCAGAATTTTCAAATTATGAGAGCTGCTCCAGAGATTTCTTTTAGAAAAATGGTCACCACTGGCGACACATTTCAGTGACACAGAATGCATTGCAAAACTTGCTTACTTGTGTGGCATATTCAACCTGCTCTATACATTCAACCTGTCACTTCAGGGGAGAAGGACAACTGTGTTCAAGTCAGCAGATAAAGTGGCTGCATCAAAAGCCAAACTGGAATTATGGAGGTGTGAAACCTTGGGATTTTTGACATGTTTCAAACATTAGCAGAGATTTTGAAAGAGACTGAGCCAGGGACTTCTTTCTCTCAGCTGGTGCATGATCACCCAGCTCAGCTTTCAGAAGAGTTTAAGCATTACGTCCCAACCACAAAAGAACCCTGAACTGGGATGAATGTCTTGATGACCCATTTGTGAATAAGCTAGGTGAATCGACTGTGTCCCCACTAGAAGGGGATCAATTGCTTGAGATCACAAATGATGGTGGCCTTAAAAGTATGTTTGAGGCTGGGTGCAGTGTCTCATGCCTGTAATCCCAGCACTATGGGAGGTTGAGGAGGGTGGATCACCAGATCAAGAGATCTAGACCAGTCTGGCCACCATGGTGAAACCCCGCCTCTACTAAAACTACAAAAAATTAGCTGGGAGTGGTGACGGGTGCCTGTAATCCCAGCTACTCGGGAGGCTGAGACAGCAGAATTGCTTGAACCTGGGAGGCGGAGGTTGCAGTGACCCGAGATCGTGCCACTGCACTCCAGTCTGGCGACAGAGTGAGACTCCATCTAAAAAAAAAAAAAAAAAAAAAAAAAAAAGGATTTTGAGACAGCTTCATATCTGTACATTCTGGATTAAAGTCAAGGCGGAATATCCTGAGATTGCCACAAAAGCACTGAAGAGCCTGCTCCATTTTCAACATCCTATCTTCGTGAAGCAGGATTTTCTGCAACAACTAAAACAAGATTACAGAGTAGACTGGACGTAAGCAACATACTTACGGTGTCACTGTCTCTTCTCATTCCCAGATGGAACCCTCTAGTTGCAGGAAAACAAGCTCAGGGCTCCCATTGAGTCTACATTATGGTGAGTTGTATAATTATTTCATTATATTTTATTACAACGTAATAATAATAGAAATAAAGTACACAATACATGTAATGTGCTTGAATCATCCTGAAACCTGCCACCAACCAACCCTGGTCCATAGAAAAATTATTTTCCATGAAACTGGTCCCTGGTGTCGAAAAGGTTGGGAACCATTGGTTTATCCAGGGTCATCCAGGTTGAAGTGGGGTCAGGAGCAATGGAGAAATTTAGGTCAAAAAATACAAAGGTACAAACTTGTAGGATGAACAAATGGAAAGACCTAATGTACAACATGAGGACTATAGTTAACGATAGTGGTATTCAGGATTGATGATAAATGAGTAGATTATAGCTGCTCTTGCCCCACGGGCGGCAATGTGCAATTACAGGAGTTGATGGATATGTCATACACATAATTTAAATACACACAATAAAAACTAGTTTAAAAAAGATCTAGGCACAATATTCATTTTAAAAAATAAAGGGAGCTTTCGAAACATTCAAATAACTGCTTAAAAACAGATTTTAAAAATATAACAAAATTTAATAGAAGGAAAGGAAGAGAAAGACAGCAAGAAAGAAAAGGCACCATAAAGAAAAACAATCTTGACCCCTCTTCTTTAGTCGTCTAAACTGCCCCTGCTCCCTCGCCTTGAAAAGCCTCGGGCTTCCGAAGGATAGAGGTCGAAGCCAGAGTGAAGAAAGTTCCTGGGGGAGGCCACTCTCCAGCTGATGATTTTCAGTTCCAGCTGGTGTCGAGGTCCCAGTTCATCTCTGCCCTTAAGGACAAACGTTTCCGGAGCCTCTCCGAGGAGCAAGAAAGCGAGTCGGGGGTAGAGGAGGCGGGCCACACAGTAGGTGGTGGCTGCAGTCCCTCCTCCGGCTCCTCCTCCTCCTCCAGCAGCCCCGCGGGACCCGGGCGCCAGCGCAGGGACCAGGGAAATGAAGCCGCGTTGTGTACATAAGATCCAGGAAACGAAACCGGGAGCCGCGGCTGTTGTTGCGAAGGTTACTCCCAGACTCCCTTCCTGCTGACTTTGGAGCAGTTTGCGCAGCGGCTGTGCCCGGCAGTCTGGAGGGGTGGGAGAGGAAGCCACCACCTGGACCCTGCTCTCTGGACCTTGGCTCTTTCGGGAGCGGAAACAGCGGCAGCCACAGGTGCGCGGGCGGCTTTTTCTGCCGCTTCCCGGGACGCGGGCGCGGGAACTGCGCGGGGCCAGTTCTGGTCAGGGCCAGGGTCAGGTGTGGAGGGCAACTTACGGAGAGCCGGCGCGACGGCCCGTGGGTAGTGTTTGCTGCTCTGGGGGTGGAGGATGTGGGGTGAAGGTTGGGTCCAGAAATGCAAGCAGCCTCTGAAAGGGACCCTGGAAGTGGCGCAGGTACTCGGCCAGAGGCCCGAGGCCACCCAGCGGCACCCTGGCTCACCCCGGAACCATTTCAATGACCAGGGGTGTCCTGCCTGAAAAACACCTCACGGGGCTCAGCTTCCCCTTAGCTACACTGCTTTACAGGGAGAGAGCAGCCCTGAATCCTGGGCTGAGGCTGGGCTCAGGAGCATGTGCCAGCATAGTGGGGCTATTAGAAGGGACGGTTAATACAGTCTGCAAGCTGTCATTTACGAGTAAGTATTCACTGAAGTCCGCCTGGAGCCCACACCTATGCTAGGCCCTCTACAATACCAGCTTGGAAAAGATGGCGGCGGTAGATGGCACAGTTGCTAAGACCATTGGCTCTAGTCAGGCTACCCGACTTGAAATATGGCCTCTACTACTTCACATCTGTGGACTGTCAGCTACTTTCTTCCTTTATGTTCTATCCATTGTCTCCTCTCTGAAATTGTGTAACTATTTAAAAAGCTACAGAGTAGGCCGGGCACGGTGGCTCAAGCCTGTAATCCCAGCACTTTGGGAGGCTGAGGTGGGTGGATCACGAGGTCAAGAGATCGAGACCACCCTGGTCAAAATGGTGAAACCCCGTCTCTACTAAAGATACAAAAAATTAGCTGGGCATGGTGGCGCGTGCCTGTAATCCCAGCTACTCAGGAGGCTGAGGCAGGAGAATTGCCTGAACCCAGGAGGCGGAGGTTGCGGTGAGCCGAGATGGCCCCATTGCACTCCAGCCTGGGTAACAAGAGCGAAACTCCGTCTCAAAAAACAAAAAAAAAAGCTACAGAGTATTACATGTGTTAGTTCTTTCCATTGTCTCATCTCTGAAACTGTGTAACTATTTTAAAAGCTACAGAGTATTACATGTGTTAATGTAAAGTTCTTAGAGCAATGCCTGGAACTACGGAAAGTACTCAGTGAAAGTTAGCTTTTATTATTTTAAATATTTGACAAAGTTCCGGCTTCTCCAAGCTGCCTCTCTGGTTCCCATGTGGTTTCATTCATGCACTGTTATTTCTGGAAGTCTTGGCATGGCCACTTCCCAGTTCCAGGTACAGAGGCAGTCGTTGTTTCCTCTTGATTATCACGTTGAGATACATAGTTACTACAAGTAACACTTAAGAGCGTTAGGCAGTTTGGGGGCTCCTTTCTTGAGCTTTTCCTAAGAACAAACCTCTCTTAATGTTACCCTGTTCACAACAATAGTAGAGCTTTGAACAATGAGAAAATGCAGGGAAATGAAAAATACCAATAAAGGGAAATGAGTGGATTTCTGCAGTTGGATAGAAAAGTGGCATGTAAAAGAGCTGGTTTACAGATCAAACTGCCTTTAGATCTGCAAAGGAGCTTAGAGTACAGGTGGAGAGACATGAATTGTGTGTGAGCAGACCCTTGTGTACCTCTCCATCCTCATCTCTAAGAATCTTTCCCTCTTTTGCTGTTACCTCACTGATCTTCCTTTCCTTGAATGAGGCAAGTTCTTCCAGCTCAGGAATTCTACCTATGAAGTTCCCTCTATCTATAATGCCCTCCAACACCCCACTCACATACCTCCATAGACTAGTCAATTTGAGATTTCCTTCAGCTCCCAGTCTGACTTTTATTAAACCCCTACCACCGTCGAAGTTAGTGGTAACTTAAAAACCATAACCCTTTCTTACAGCAACATTATTGTTATCTATAGCACTTAGAGTATTTTTAATAATATATTTAATTCTTAATTGTCTGTCTCCCTTAGTGTCAAGATATTGTGCTCCAGTGCCTGGTATAGTGCCTTGCATGGTCTCTGCCTTCAATTAATTCCTTTAAAACCATCCAAGCTTTATATTTAGTGAATATTTACGTAAGAAGTATTTTTATATGTATATATGTGTATCTATATATACACATTCAATAGCATTGCCCTAAATAGTGTTAAATTAAAAAGCCAAAACAACTTTTAATCAGAACTAATAGTTGCACTCTTCAATTTTCCATGTTTTGAAATAAGTGATTAGGAAAAAAATGATGTCTCCATATATTGTCTGCTGCTGTAACAGACTACCTGAGATTTGGTAATTCATAAAGGACAGAAATGTGTTTCTTACAGTTCTGGAGGCTAGGAAGTCCAACATAATCGTGTGTTGCTTAAAGACAAGAATATGTTCTGAGAAATGCATCATGAGGCAATTTTGTGGTGGTGAGAACATTATAGAGTTTACTTACACAATCCTGGATAGTACAGCCTACTATTTAGGCTGGAGTGGTGGGGTGGGGGGTATTGAGAAAGTCAGATTGAGAGCTGAAGGAAGTCTCAAATAAACTAGTCTATGGACGTGTGGGTGAGTGGGGTGGTGTAGGGCATTATAGATAGAGGGAACTTCAAAGGTAGAAGTCCTGGGCTGGAGGGAACTTGGCTCATTCAAGAAAAGGAATGACCAGTGAGATGGCAGATAGCCTACCAGACCTTGACTCTGTGGAATAAAGTATTGCTCCTGGCTAGAAACCAGTATAACATGTTACTGTACTAAATACTGTAGGCAAGTATAATACAATGTTAAGTATTTACGTATCTAAACATATCGAACCATAGAAATGGTACAGTAAAAATATGGAATATAATCTTATGGGACCCCCATCATATATGTGAACTGTTGTTACGGTGCATGACTGTATCAAGGTGCCTGCATCTTGTGAAGGTCCTCTTGCTGCATCATCCCATGGTGGAAAGTGGAAGGGCAAGACAGCAGGAGAGCCTGGAGCTTGATTTCATTACAGGCCTACTCTGGCAATAACTCCCAAGATAACATTATTCTATTCATGCAGGTAGAGTGTTTATAACCTAATCATATTTTATTAGGTCACACCTCCCAACACTGTTGCATTGGAAATTAAGTTTCCAACACATGAACTTTGGTCACACATTCTAACCATAGCACCTGGCCTAGTTAAAGCTAAGTGGCACAAAAGTAAATTGAACTTCAAGCCTTTTCTATCTTCCATAAGAAAGATACCTTAAGAGAGTCTTTTAACAAATTTCACTGAAGGTTGTCAGTTTTCATTTTTTCAGTGAATCAGAGACATTGGTGCAAAGAATATGAATTATTAATAATCTTAATTCAGCTCTTTAGTGAGCTGTATCGCATCAAAATCAGTTTTACTTCTATGGGTTTAGTTTCATCATTTATTAGGAGGAAAGGAAAGAAACAACTCAAATTTGTGAGAGAGCTCTGGGTTGTCAGGAAAGGCTTTTCGAAGAATAAAGCAATCAAATGAGAATAACTGCTTTAGTATTTGTTTCCTTTGTCTCTTTGGTTTACTTTTTAGTTTTGTAGAACACTTGATCACTATCATCTCACTTGGTTTTAGGTGACATATCATCTACATTTTAATTCAAGGTTTAATATAAAATGCTATAAAAGCTATCCCAAATTGGTTTTAAGCCTATTTATTTTGTTTAAGCATAAAATACACAAGAGGATCTTTATGGGAAGACTCCTTGTTACCAGGTACTTTGCATTTATAATCAGCCTCGATCACCTCACTGCATTCCCATATCTTACAGGTATGATGTGCTGGGTACTCAAAGCCTCACCACCTGCTTGCCCCACACATTTGTGTAAATGTATAATTTTTTTCTACACTTAAGTTTTACCAAAACCAGAGTTCAACAGATGAATATTTTTCCTTCTTAGATGTCAACAAGACATTTTGAAATGTATCAAATTTACCTACAAACATTGCCCAAATGACAAGGAAATTATTTAATTTGTGACTTACCTCTGTAATGTTCCCTGACCTACTCAAAATCCCTGCCTTCCCTCTTGTCTAGTATCTTGTTCTCACTTATTGGGAGGAAGTTAGGGAACTAGAATTCTTGTGATTGTTTTCAGAGCAGTAGAATTTAGGTAAAATAATTCAAAACATGTATCCCTATCTTGGGGCTTGAAGAGAATGTGAAACTGTTATTCTGTGTTTAGAGGGAATAAGTAGGGGAGGTTGTTCTTAGGCAATTAACAAGTAAATTTAAATAAATAACCCTTATCTAGTGCGGGTAACCAAATTTTAGTTTTAGGAACTTTCAAAATTAAGTCTGCTTCCCCTTTCAGTTCCAGATTTTACATTAATACTTTTTGAAAGCAGTAAGATAAAAATGTCGTGACCTCAAGAGATGGGTCAAAAGAGTTTCTCTGTAATGTGAATTGTGAAGGTAGAACTGGAAATCCCCTGTGCTGTTACTTCCTCTTCCTGGTAGTAGAGGTTTACAGTCAGTCATCAAGAAGTCCAGAGAAGCAATGGAGACTTATGATTTCTGGTAGAAAAATTTTAACAGAAGTGTACTTATGTGCAAATAATATATGATGCCTTCGTTTCCTTCAAAGTCTTATTTAACAGAGTTAGAAAAATCAGATTGTATTTGAAGTTCTTTGTTCATCCTGGAGTAATTGTTATGCCAATGGTACAGTATACCTCATAACTTTAGTACATTTTTTGGTACACCATAAAGATAATTTTCTCTTTCTCTGAAGTATTTATGAAATTAAAAACAAAATAAGTGTGGTAGAAGCCATTATTTATGAGTTATGCTAAATTAATTAACTCATTAATTAATTCATTCAGGACACAACTAGTTATTCCCCAAACTGAGTGACATACATCTTGAAATATATTCATTAAGCTTGAGAAACCCCAAGGGATCATTGGAACAGCAAAGAGGAATGTAGGCAACCACATAGTGGATGACTTTAGTGACCTGGCACACAGTACTTTATCTACTTGGCACATGGACAGATA